ATGGTTATGTGATTAGGGTTGTCAAAACAACTCTTTGTTCGTGAAAGGCTTGTGTTCGGCTCGCTAAGCAAACGAGCCGAACACGAACACACTTTTTTAGCTCGAAATATAAATAAGCCGAACACGAGCTGTTCGTTTACACCCCTAACTATAACAAAGAAAAAATATTCATGCATTTTTTATTTTATTTTTAAAGTTAATAGTCATAATACTTAAAATTTTATTATTGCTTCAAATAAGTGTTCAATTGAATAGACTCTTTTATCTCTATGTTGCGTTTCAGATCGCCGCCATAATTTTATTTAGAAAAACTATTTTCTTACTGTTTTCTAGAAATTTCTTTGTTGAAAAGCTGTTTTTTTTTGCACTTTTATCTCTATGTTGTGTTTCAAATCATTGAGAATTTGATTAAATGAAAAATATGGGCCGAGAGATAAAAGTGGCAGGGCTTGATTTGTAAATATCTTTTTGTCGAGTGGTCCGTTTGTAATTGAATTATTTATGAAAATTTGCAGTATTGTGCAATGTAGTTAGAATAGGATAAATCAATTTGATTGCAAATATTGCATCATTCAATAATTTGTTGGAAATATATATCTCTATGGTTAGGATATTCAGCTTGTTAATAAGTTGAAATTAAGCTGCAGTTAATATTTCTTCCGCATAATATGGGACGCGAACTAGCCGAGTTTGAGCGAGCTGATGCTTCTTCGTGTTTGACTCGCTCAAAATGTATTTCAATCGAATTAACTTGTGAAAAATATGTTAGTATTCGGCTCGATTCAAATTCATTTATTTGTTTGTATTCGAAAATCAGTTTGAATGATTTAAAAAAAATACTAAATTTTAATATTTTTTAAAACTGCAGCATTAAAATTTCACATAAAAATATCATAATAATATTATTTATTTACTTATTTAATTAATTCCAATCAAAACATGCACAACACAATTGAATCAAAATTTGTTCGTGTTCAATTTTCATATAATTCGAGCTCAAAAGAAAGTACAAAAAAAAAAAAACAATGTATTTCATATATTTTAAAATTATTTTATTAAATGTATGATAGATATAGAAGATTAATGTTACGTTTGATTGGAAGTGAAATGAATTGAATATAAGATGGAGATAGTGTTGGTGGGCAGTTGTTGGTTGCTGACGACAGTAAGTTGTGGCTCTCAAGGCCGGAGGCTAACCAGGATAGCAGCATTTATGAACACTAAAAGAAAAAGAATTTTTGCAGCACTTTATATATGCATCCACAGTGGTAAAAACTCCTACTACATTCATTGAAGTAGATTTTAAATCATTGCAATTGCTAGCCATGCAAAGGATTTTAGTAGTTGTTTTAAATATTTTGTGTTTTTTTAATATTTTCAGCAGCATATTTTAAAAGGTCTTTAAATAAGCGCCGCTAAAAATCAACCAAGTATAAAATCATCAAAATTTAACCAATTTCAAGTTGTCACTCACAAGGTGTCACTCAGCTTGCATGTGACTTTAAGTTAAATTGAAAGCTGGTGAAGGAAGTTATCTAATAAGTTGTTTTGCTGATGTCCAACTAAAACAGCCTCTTAGACAACTCCCATCACCATCTTTCAATCCAACTTGAAGTCACATGCAAGCTGGGAGACAACTCCCTTTCTCAAACAAAAATATCTGATAAGGAATGATCTATAAAGAAAACATTTTGAAACAATGTAAGGCGGTGTTTGACTACGACTTAGATTTACATTACATGTGATTTATCAAATTTGATAAATCTTAATTTATCAGATCGATATGTGATGGAAGAGCTCGCGAGTGATGACAGATAAAATCCACCTCACAGTCAATATTTGGCAACATTTCTATGTAATTTTTTAACCACGAGGAAAGCTCTATCAAATTTTTTGAGCAAAACATGTAATAAATATATTTGTATATGTATATATTGTCAATTTCAAGATCAAGGCAAGCACATTAATAAGAAAAGAGTTACTCTACATAAACTTTTTTATTCTGTCAAGAATTAAGAAACGGTCGAAATCTCATTTCACAAATGAGTTGATCTATTTGATCATTTTGAAGTTTATAGAACCGCTTGGCTCTTTAATGATGTCAGATTTTGTTAATGTTAAGGTTTCGCATTCTTTTCATTTTGATTCAGAGTATAAAAATGTAAGAAATTGAAGTCCACCTAACTCTGCAAATTATTTTCGGGTAATTTCAACTATATGTTTAATATTTGATTCTGGCATGTTTGGCCTCAATGTAAACGTTTTCAGATGATTGCAAAGTAATTAGATGAACTTATTGATAGTATATCATGGATATTGATATTAGTAATGGGCTTGAATTTATTGGTTCGGTTATGAGCTTATTATATACTTTCTTCTTCTCTTTTGCTGAATGAATTATATCCTTAGCTCCATTTCCATCTGTTTATATGTCTTAGCCTTCTCAGATTTTGGCATTTCAGTTCTATTTGCATTATCTAAATTTCATGTTTGCTCAATTTAAGATTTTCAAATCAATTTCTTTATTTATTTTCACTGAATTTTTAAGCATTTCTATGCAACTCTATACTTGAAGCCTTCTCATGACATCTTATATATCAGATATTGTAATAATTACTATAACAATTTAGATACATAACATTTAAAAGATGAAATGGTGCATCTTTCAGGCATAAATTTTAATGATTACATTCAAAGCATCTAAACTTTTCAAATAAAGTATAACATAAGGATTTCTAACATCTTCACTCTTACTTGAGGCGACATCTTCCCCGCCCCGGTTCACCATAAGAGAACTGCAATTAGAGCAAATTGGGAAAAATTTTAGCTAAAAACGTATTTCTAAGTGCTCCTAAATAGAGAAATAATACTGTAAAATCAATCTTTAAGTACAAATTTAGCTGCCAAACTGACAATTTCTAAGTGCCCTTCTCATGACATCTTATCAATTTTTTCATTAATTTTAGGAGAAACCACCAAACATGCCCTTATACTATGGGTCGAATCGGTTCTATTAGAAAACTAAATAGAAACGGTATGATTTTATTTATGCCTTCCTTTTACTTGTAGTAATTAATCACTTTTGCATTATGGTATGTAGTCCATTCAAGTTAGATTGTAATTATGGAGAGTTTGTCGAAAGCAAAATGATGGATCATGGTCATCAAAGGTTACTCGGTTAAAATGAGTATTGTTACATTTTTTGTTTGAATTATTAAATTTAAATTTGTCTTATTTATGATTAAGTATATATTATATGTTATAGACCCAAGCTTGTGATCTACTGGCTAAAGTAAGTTTGACACCCGAACATAGAAATGTTGAGGCGAACGAGAGAGATTTTACATTGATTATGGGTTCTGAACATCATGGGAGAGTAATGAAGTAAGGTTTCAGTGTTACTCCTAGTCATTTCTTTACACATAGTACTACCACCACAAGTGATAGCAATAGAAGTAATAGCTTTGCCCGAGTTGCAAGGTTGGAAGAGTAGTTGCAATCCATGAGAGTAAAGTTGTGAGAGTTTTCTTCCGTGTGTGATGATATGCTAGATATTGCATCGTTTTGTGCTAAGCTTCAAAGTATTATTCAGCAATTTTAGCCACAACACTGACCACCTGGTGGTTCACTTTTGGTGCGTGAAATTTCAAATAATTAATATTCTAATTATTAGCATCAACTATTGTAATTTAATGTGTCTATTTTCTTACTTATAGGAATCTGATCAGCACACATCTGAGGAGTAGTTGTATGCTTATGTTCAAGATATTGAGATTTTTCGAATTATGAAAACTTTTAGCATCTTCCGATAGTTTATGTTCTCACTTTGTTTTATTTCTTTTATAAATTAGGTTTTTAATTTTTTTTAATTGCCATTGTTGACAAGTTTTGATCTTGTTGTGTTGAAACTTTCATCAAGTGTTTAGCTATTATTACCTTCGGTTCTCCAAATTTAAGTGGTTTTATCCGCCAGTAAAGTTATGAGAACGAAAAAACTAACGCATTTAATGAAGTTGTTCCTTTCTACTCATTTAGAGGGAAAATAACCATAGGTGAAATTTGAGATCTTTGAAGAATTATCCTAGTATATTTTTCCTAATTATTTTTTTTTTTTGTAAGACTTGAGTTTCCATTTTGAGGAAGGTAGATGCCACTTCAAATCATTGTAAATATTCTATGGGATGTGAGAGTCCTCTTGATTGAAGCTAGGTCTAATTATTGTCTTAGAACTACTATGTATAGCCTAATCAGAGAACTATTTGTGGTGGAGCAGCTCTTCATGTTACTCGTGATATTCCTTCTATTCTCTCCACTAAAGAAGGAAAAGCAATATACATAACAAAGTGCTTTTTTTTAATGTATGGATTGTATAAGGACCGAATGCATTACTATATCTTGCAGAGTACATATCGATTGGCTATGGATTGAAACTTTTTTGTTCTAGTTTCTTTATTTCTTGAAGGTCAATAACAAGGACTTTGTGGTTGTGTGTATATTAAATTGGTTCGATTACGATCCCATGGCTGATTTAACATTTGAGTCATGTTAAGTTTTGCATATTTTGTATTCTGCAAGCATAATGGTAAACTTTTTCCCACGTATAAGTTGTTTTAAAACATCATGAAATGGTTTTGTTTCAAGCTTTCATTGATTTTTAATGCTAACATATAAGTTTAGATATATTTCTTTTTGGATATTTGTAGATTAACAAGGTACATGGGCTTCAAGGAAGAACATAAAAGGATTCTTATTGGGAGGGGAACCGACATCGAGCGTGTAAACATCGTGATCAACTATGATATGCCTGATTCTAAAAACTCTTACTTTCACCGGGTATAATTTTTTCTGAGGTACAACCTAATTATTCATGTCTTTTTTAATGATTTTCTAACACTACTCAACAGGTTGGTAGAACTGGCTGATATGGCACAAAGGGGCTGGCTATCTCTTCAGCTTCTGATTCAGATGTTCTTAATCAGGTTAGATGTTTTTTTCTTTGCGGTACTCATTGATTTTGGATGAAGTAGCCTGAATTTATTTGGCAAATAAATGTCATTTTTGTATGTTCAAGCAAGATTTGAAGTTGATATCAAGGAATTGCCAGAGCAAATTGATACTTTCACAGGCAGTAAGTAACCTTTCTCTCCTACACTAGAAAGCAGTAAGCTTCCAGGCTTTACTTTCAGATAATTTTTCTGAAGAGCCTTTTAAGTTTTGTTGTTCATTCTTTTGTAATATGGGTATATTGGTTAGGGGAAGAGGGGTTGTGTAGTTTTGAGGGAATATTTTTTGAGTGTTTTAAAGTATTCTAGCTGATTAAAGTGGTAGTTGAAGGGGAATGCATGTTAAAGAAAAATTCCTAAAATTATAAAGAAAATCTAAACAAAAACATTAGTTTCCCACCTTTGAGCTCTTGGGTGTGGGTTCTCTCTTTGTTACAAGTGTTATAAAAGCCAAGATTTTACAACTGCAATTGTCATGCTTTGAAATTCCAGCGAGCTTATGCTTGAGCTCAAATCAATGAATTTTGTTTTCTCATGAGCCGACTCATTTATCATAGAAGAGGAGATGATTCAGGTTTCTGTAGCTGTTATAAAATGATTGATGAAATGCAAAATTATATGAGAAATAATAGCAAATTACTAGATATAAGAATGAAATTTGAATTTTAAGAGTTTTTAAAAATTTTGTTCTTAAACACTCTTGATTTCTAATATATTGCATTTTTATTGCATTACATTACAATCCAATGAGTCTCAATTTGGGTATGGCATGGTAGCTCATTGTACTAGCCTTGCAAACCATTTGTTGAGTAGAGTTTATGTCAACTCATGCATCATTTTGAGATATATATATATTATATATATAATGGAAACAGTACATAAACCGACATTGTGGTATGGGATCCTGAAGTGGAATTTGAGCTTGAAGGTAGCTATAAATCATTCCATAAACATCTGGTGAGAATTTGAATTGCATGAACGATCAATTAGCATATATTGCCACATCTCTTTTCTCAACAATTCTTTTAATTGCATTAAATCTGCAGCTCTGCGCAGCCTTCACAATTGCAGAAGCTTGCATTTTTCTAGACTGGTGCAATGTGTCAAAAAAATTTTATGATTGTAAGGATTGGGTTATTACAGCTTCATTGTAAAGATTTTCAATTGCAGTATATGATTTCAAGCAAAGGTAACGCAAGAGCTAAAGATGAAGTTTGTCATTTCTGCGTGAGATTAGATGGAGAGACAATGTTGTTCATGCCTAAGATTTGGTGGACTGACTAAGGTTCTATTTTTCATAAGTATTATTAATTGTTTTGGGTGTCAAAGATGTAAATAGATTGTTTTGGTGAGAAATATGTAATTAGAGTTATTTTGAGTGCAATGTATGTAACAGCTCTTTTTTATTATTATTATGTGAGATTCAACAACAACAAAGCCTTAGGCTCTGTTTGGCGCAGCAGCAGCTTCTCAGCTTTTTATCTGCAGCTGCGCTGCCTCAGGAAGCTGCTGCGGGAAAGCTGGCTGTCTGTTTAGGACATTTGTGTGAAAACAGCTGTAAGGTAGCTGTTTCTGCAGAAATAATCATTGTCCCTGTTTTGTAATATTGTGCTTAACAGAACTATCATAAATTTAATATTTTTAAGACACCAATTCACTTAAAAATAATACAGAAATACAAGTACATACCTCACTTCACAGTGAGTATCAATAGTGAAAAAAAAGCTTAAAACTATTAAAAAAATAATTAATAAGATGATTATATTAATTTTTCTGACTGCAACTGAAAAAAAAAAAAGGAACAGGCAATTATTGTTATTAATAAACACACTTCAATATTATAGATGCAAAGAGATGAATAAACACACCAAACACTACCTCAAGCAAACTTTACTTACACTGAAGGCACAAAAACGGCCATTGATGTATGAAAAGGAGTAGTACCGAAAAAATTCCTCCACTGATTGTTATGTATAGATTTCCTTGGTAATGACAGCAATGGTTGCTTAAAATTTTTTAAGTTATTCTAAAGTGCCGAATAAACACCACGGGAAACATAGTCATGGCCACAGGAAACATGCACTCTTTAGTGGAAAAGAAATATTCATTAGACATCTATTTTCAGGCTCCTTGTTTCTGTTTTAGCTCTAGATTTCTTGTCACTTAGAAGTTGTAGCCCCTGATTACAACAAATTTCATATTTCCCTGTAATGAATGAAAATGATATGTACAATGGAAGCAGTAGATAACACCTTATTTATACTGCTTATTGTTCAGATTGTAATGAGTGATAAAAGTATGTACATGGGAGCGGTAGCTACAATCTTATAGCTGAGGAATAACTCGATGTTAAAGAGAAAGGAAACAAATCACCATCAGGTCATCAATGCATAATTTTTAGCAATTTGCTTGGATGCATAACTTCTAAACATTGAGAAAAGCTTCTGGTCAGATCATTGGAACCAGCAAAATTGCCACATGCATACTCCTTATAGGGAAGAACACAGATGTGTCCAACTGCAGCATAAAAGGGTTAAATATGATGGGCGGGGTGGGAGACGAGTAATGCAAGTGGGTGAGGGAAAAGAAACTTCAATTACTTATGAGCTGCATTTTGATGATAGAAAAGGGTGTAAATTAGCATTAATTAAAAAGTTTACATTACAAAGAAATCCAAGACACTCCACCTGCATTTCTTGGCAAAATTTTGACACTTGCATTTAAATTTTAAGATAGTAGACATAACTAATGAGATATATAACCTGTAATTGTTAACATCAGATTCATAACAAGGAAATATGTTGTACGTGTTAAAAGGAGATGCAATGAAGAAACCTGCTTTGTTTAGTTATGTTGGCACATGTTTGAAGAGATAACTGAATAATTTACAGTGTGCTCAGAGAAATCGTGAAGTTATGGAAAAGTAGTGCCGGAAAACATTTCAAATATCATCCAACAGGAATAAAAGTTTCAAATATCATCCAACAGGAGTAAAAAATTTCAAATATCATATGATAAGGATCAATTTCAACACACCATAAAGTTCCCAGGCATCAATCAAATAAAGAATACTAACCTTGGGCCTCAAATAAATTGAATGAATGAGGGTCTAGCAGACCCCGTATCCACAAAGAAAGGCACAAAACTCTTACATCCTGATATGAAAGCAAAAAAAAACCTCATAAACGATAGCTTTCCCTTAATCCTTGTATAGTATTAATATTTTACCTTTAATTTGCAAGAGTTCTTTCCTTGGAGAATATGCAATAGCTTCCACCGCGCAGAGATCAGCAAATCAAAGGAAAAATCAGCAGTTGATGGATCCTGGAATGAACCGCTTCGGCTTTGCGCCTTCCCTGTCGCTGAGGGAGGAGATGGAGACCCTCCAACTTGCCGACGGACCCATCACCGCCTTCCCTGCCGACGAAAACGGCGCTGGCGATCCACTCCTCCATCCCCTCCAAACTAACTCGCCTTTCTCCTTTTCCTCCATACCCCGACATCCTCTATTCCCGATCCCCCCTGCGAGTGATGGTTAGGGCAGAGGAAGCTCGCACTCGGATATCGGAGGGATACGCGGGCCGCGGGGGTCTCCCCCGCGGCCGGCGTTTCGTTCAGATTCGCCGCCGTCGCGCCAAACGATCCTAAACTGCGGTCTCCCGCCCACCGCTCATAAAAAGCCGCGCGGGATTATGTGAAATTTCTCAAAAATTTAAGTTGTACATAATTTATTTTGCATAATATATTTATTAATGAAATAAAATATATTCATGCATGTAATGTTTTATGAGCAGCATGTCATGGACAAATAATCTCATATTGGTTAGGTGTAGGGCTGAAAAGTATTATTTAAGTCTTGGGCTGCCCACCATTCATAAGGGTCTTTTGGGAGGTGACAAGTAGTATCAGAGCAGATCACTGTTTGTTAGGTGTGTGGACTCTCCATGGTCCAGTGGGACCCTTGGTGGAGCCGATCCGTGACGAGGGCGTCACGTGATTGGGTGGAGGAGAATGTCGCGGACAAATAGTCCCACATTGGCTAGGTATAAGGCTGAAAAACAGTATTTAAGTCTTGGGCTGCCCACCACCCATAATAGCTCATTTGAGAGGTGACAAGCAGGTCATACTAAAAAAATATTAGTAACATTTAAGATTTTAATAAAAAAAAAACTTGTTAAAATTACGGTTTAAACCGTTATATCATTTTTGTGTTTTATAGCCTCATTTTAAATGTTGGCCAAAACTGTCATTAAAAATGGTGGTTTAATATTTTTTTTCGTAAAGGTTATAATACTCATCTCATAAATGATTTGTTATTAAAATTATAATTCATAAAATTTTCAGATTTTTAAAATTATATTTGGAGAGTGTAACATCATTGTTATGAAAGGCGCGTTGTTTCATCTGGACGACTAATCACCGGCGGTCACTTCGTCATACACGTCATTGACGGGCGATATGACCGCCGGTGGTTGGTCGTGCGGGCGTTCGAATGGAATATTTTCTTCGCGTTGTGAGAATAAATGAAGATTATAGGATGATGGTTATAGCCGTTAAACTACGGGCATAATTTCTTAAGAACAAATTCAGTTAAACAAGTATTTTGGTTATATTTTTTCTTTTGAATATTAGATAAAATTAAAGGGCATTTACATACACTCAACCCAATTCCTATATGACTATATATCTAAGAAATAAACTCTATTTTTTTATATAAAATTAAAGCAGTTTTGAAGGAATTATAATTTAATATTAAAATACTTTTTGAAAATAAATTGAATTCATAAACACTTTTTAAAATTATTTATAAAAACAACACAAGGATAAAATGATACAATTTATTAAATTTATTATTTTTCTTAGCGTGTTTAAGCAATCTAATGGGCTTAAAGATGATGTGCAGTTGTGTTTGGGACATCTGTGTGGTATCGCACCGCAGTTTTCTCAGTTGGGGTAAATCGCGTTTTGGCAGTTTTTTCAAAAAGCTACCGCTAAAATCTGCTTTTTCCCACTAGTATTGACTAGGTGCAGTGGTAATCTTCTAGCTACGGTATAACTTTTTAAAAAAAAAAAAATTGTAATAGTCACCTCAGTTTTTTTAACATCAGATTATTTTCAGTTGTTTCACAACTGTTTTTTAATAAGTTGCAGTTGTCGTAAACAAACTCTAAATGAGGAATTGAATTGCATCAAATGATGAAAGTAATACGAACAATTTACATCCGCACCACAAATATCTTATCATGTATTTACATATTTAACACCTAAATTTTGATTTTCATCTATATCACTTATATAGCATCGCTTTTTAAAAATTGTAAGTCATAGTTTTGTTGTGACATCAATGATTAGGGTGTTATAAACATGAAAATATGATGTTGTCCCCACTAATATTAAGGGATCGTTTAAGTACGCATCTAGTCTCTGCTTCGTCGCATAAACAATTTAGAGAATGTGCCACAATATATTTTTTTGTCATTTTGCGATTGTGCCTCCAGTCCTCCGTTCCAGCCTTTCGAATGGTGTTCCAATATTTTGGAGGTCTTTCTATGCTTTTAATAGTCTTTCCTTATTGAAAAGGTTATAAATGATATACACACAAAAATTTTATATTCAAAGAGAAATATTACTTTATCAAAATTAAACCTTTAACATAATTTTCTTAGATGTTTTGTTTAAACAAGCTTAGGGGGTGTTTGGTATGATGCTTTTAACAAGATTTAAGTTGTATTTAACTTAAATCCAACCAAAATCATAAATATGTTGGATAAATTTGTCGTTAAGTTAAATCTAATTTTTGTTTGTTTCGTTAATTAAATTCAGATTTATTAAATCTGCTTATTAGTTGGATTTAATGGATGTCAGTCGCCGGAATGGATATCTCGACGCCTGTTTTTAAAAGATATTTAATATATATATATATATATTGAAAATATAAGATCGATCTGATCTCATATATACAATAGTTTAAATGAATGAGCATAATATCACAAGCAATATATCTAGCTTGAATATATACACACTACTTGCTCGTGGGGCTCGATTAAATAAACTAAAGAATTTATGACATCTGTTTTAGTCTGCGAACATTTATGTTGACCAACAAGTTTCCCTATCTAATATGAAAGATTAGATAGAGGTTATTTTAGGTTAGATTCTTAAAGTTTTCTATAAGGGCAAGTCCTTATAGTTAATTACATCTTAAATGAGTGAGGTCATCTAAGAAAACCCTTGATTTAGATCAGAAAATATTACCTTCAAGAATTTCAAAGAGATAAGTCTTTTCAATGGTCGGACCAAGGAGTGTCAAATGGGAAAAACTCAAATTTGAAAGAATTATTATGTAATCCAAATGAAGAAAACTAGGGGTTGACATAGATCCTGAGGAGAACCTCGGTGACTTCCCAAACTATTATATGGTTGAGCTTCAATTTCGGAGAAATATTATTAAATTTTTAAATCACAAAATTATGGATAGTGGTTTGATTTGATTGATGATTAGTGGATGTTTGGATTGTTAGTGGTTTGATTTGATTTTTGTGTCATAAGGGAGGTGATTTCTTAATTTCTTATTATGGATAGACTTATATATTCTCTTGTAGTGGTTGGATTAACAAGTCCACTACGACTCAGGTCTCACCCAACATTGAGTTTTACAAGAGACATTATGAAATTTAACAGTGACAGTTCCATCTCAATTTTGTTACTTCCTTTCTTTATCCTTGTTTTCATTTGGTAGAAGTCATGACCTATTCGATGAGCAACATGTGGATGATTTTACACTATCCTTATTATTGTTAAAAATGATTAATTAATGGGATATGGTGACACCTGAGGTTGTTGTTTGCGACCTAATGTATCAGGGATAATCGTGTCCATGGGATTAGACTCTATAAAATCATTTATAAGTATCTAATATATTTGTGTAGTGATTCTGTTAGAAATGGTAAGTAAGTCAGTAAGATGCGATGAGTTAAAGGAAGAATTAACCTCATTTAGCATGTGTGTTGTGTTTGTGTTTTATGATTGTTTTTGTGTTATAACTTTATATAGGACTTGAAGAACGTATTTATATTCCTATGCTTATACCTGTTATGTTGGTTAGACTTTTTTAATTTCATTTGGACATGTTTAGTTTAGATTTACTTTATGCTACACGATTTCTATCATGATTAATAATTGTAGATGTTTCTGATAAGCATTTGTGGTGGACAGAATTTCTGAACTATTTTTCTTCCTGCTTATATTTTCTGTATTGAATGTTATACATGTTTAAAATCAAGTTTGGGGGTAGGAAGAAAAATAAAATTTTAAAGAGTATTTAAAGTTAGTATACTTCCTTTTAGTTTAATATTATTACAAGCATGTTTTATGCTAGATTTACTTTCTCCTGTAGTCATTTTATCTTGATTATGCATGAATATGAATTTGATAGGATGTTGTAGCAGCTAGTGATTCAACTTTCACTTTTTGCTTCCTGCTATATTTTTATGGAATTATGTGCAAAATATTTAAAAATTCAAGTTTGGGGGGGGGGGGGAAAATTTGGAGAAAATTTTCTAAAACTTAACTTTATATGTCCTCAGTAGCCTGTATTTAATTTGATATCACTTTTAAAATGACTTGTGGCATGTGGTATTACCTTCAGGTTACTATAATTTTGATTTTATGAATGTTAGAAAAATAACTAAGTTGAAATCCTATGTGACGAAATTATTCTAGAGTTAAGATATTTTGTAGGAAACTTAAGGAAAATGATTTTGTCATTTGTGGTGGAAAGGAGTTGAATATTTAAAAAACTAAGATCCTTCGATTTATAGTTATTGAGAATTGAGCCTTTATTGAAACATTTTTCATTCTAATACTTACACTTTTAAAAGTGAGGGAAAGTTTTGAGTTTTGGATTTTAAAAAGAGGATAGTAAAATTCAAAACTATTAAAGGCATATTCATATATAGTAATCCTCACATAAAAAGAAAAAAAAAAGTAAGGATTAAAAAGATCCTGAAAGAAAAGAAAATAAAAAGAAAAAAATAAAAAAAAAGAAAAGAAAAAGAAAAAATAAAATATGTAAGTAGCCTAATCAAAAATTGATTTCACTTTAATTTTTTTAAAAGAAAAGACTTAGAAACAGTCATAAACTTATTCTTATTTCAAGGAAGTATTGGTCAAATTGGTATAAATAAGTTGCTTAAATTCTATTTTTAAACTTTCTATGAATCTTTAATTTGACAAGTTTCAATGACTTTTGAAGTAAATAGAAAATCAAGATTCATAAGTTGAATATGAGATGTTCTTACACTCTAGTCCTAGGTTGATTTGCTTGAATTTCTCTTAAATTACACTATAACATTTCTGAGAAAAATTAAAGGAAACTTTACTGAAATCCACTACCTAAAATCAACAAATTTACTATTCAAAGTTATAGGGTTACTTGAGGGCAAGTAACGTTTAAGTTTGGGGGAATTGACACACCTAAAAATTATCTACTTTTTTTGTATATATTTTATGCTCGTTTTTAAAGATATTACACTTTAAAGGAATATATTCTACATATTTTTTGGCTTCAAGTACAGGAACCAGAGTTTTGAAGAAAAAGAAGAAAAAATGGGAAAAAACAGTATGATTTGGGTGCAAAACGAGCAAGAAAGAAAATTCTGACTTGACACATTTCGTT